GGGGGGGCTTGCTCCCCACTTCAGAATTCTGGGTGGAAGAAAAAAAACTAAAAAAACTTTTGAATCCAACAATTTGAAAGTGTTTTAAGCTAAAAAGGCTTACAATAGCGTAATTTTTGTGCATAAGTGAATGGGCAACTCGTATTACGAAAGTCTCAAAATGCATTCAAATAAAGCTAAAATTTCAAAATTTTCCGGGGTGACAGGAAATATGTTGAATTTATCAATCCAATAGTATTTTGTCATCAAAATGCAGAAAACAACGTAATTTCTGTGCAGAATTGAATGGAAAGTTTGCCTTTTGATAGCCTCAAAGTAAGTCCTAATAGAATTAAACTTTAGACATTTCCCGAGAGAGGCCCCCAAACCCCCTCTACGTAGGGGATCTTCCATACCCCCCGGTGGTAGGGGGCGAGGTCCTCCCCAGCAAAATAACCTAGCTACACCGATGCAGTGCAGGACAATCGACTTTTTAAACGACTCGGATATTTGCGATGAAACAGTGCGCGAATCTCTTAATTTTCATATACTTGGCTCTAACAACCTCAATATCTCATTGCACCACAAAAGTAGAAGAGCCATACTACCTCGACCCTCGGCATCTCGTCCCATTCTGCCATTTGTTCCTCACCCCTGGTTCCAGCGAGAGCCTAGCCCTTCGCTTCATCAACGACATAATGATCTCCGAAACCCCCAAAATGTGTGACGTTATTGGCTTCAAAAACGACTCCAGGCCCAAAGACCCGACGCCGAAATTCGACGTCATATGCATTAAACTGAACTCTGTCCGTCCGGCCGCGATAATCGGAGTACAACCGCTGAGGTTCGAGTCTACCTCGCGCAAGATCACCCAGTACGAAGTGGCGGATCACTACGTTGAACAACTGGAAGGTTAGTCCGATGAACGGAAGGGATGAGCGTGTCACTTTAAACTTGTTTACCATTCATAATACTCACTGCAATGAGTATTTTTACGGAACTTCGAATTTTTCTGGCCCTCTTTAAGTTGGCAAATCTCTTTCAAGTAAGTACACTGGAAAAAAAAAACACATTGGATCTAGAGTCTAGACTCTTAAAAACATCGACAAGAAAAAATACTCTCGATTCAATCAGATATACGCTTAAATTAAGAACCAAGCCTCTGAATTTGAGCGGATTTCCTTTTGATTTAAGCTTAAATCTGATTGAATCAAGAGTCCTTTTTCTTGTCAATGTTTTCAAAAATCTGGACTCTCGATCCAATGTGTTTTTTTCCCAGGGTACTTGCTGTTTGATTTCAAAAATATGTTATATTTTAGTAGCATAACATGTAGACTTTTCAAGAAAACCAAAACGTTTGACAAGCCAAAAATGACATTTTAGGTAAAGTTATTGCTTCAATGGAGGGACATGGAGGACAAGGTGCATAAGTGCAGTTTTCGCTACGTCAAGAAATACGTGTTTCAAGTTTCAAAATTACGTGGAACCTTATGGCGAAAAAGGACCTTCTGGCGAAAACTTTAGGAGTTTAAACTTACTTTTTGGTGCTTTAAAGTTGGATTTTAGTTGTAAAATTATTACACAATGTACTTCAGGACTAGTTTTGGTTGAAATCATTAATATCTCAATTTTTTCAGAAACTGCATTTATGCGCCTTGTTCTCCAAGTCCCTCAATGCTTTTCGGACTCGCATGTTCATCATCAAAAGTTAGAAAGAAGCATCAGCATCTCACTGCAATATTTTTCTCGTGGATTGATGTTTTACTTGTATCTTGCGATGGGAGGCAAATGCTCAACAATGCACTGAATTGATAGACTTGCCCATGAACAGCATGTTATTTACGTTCAATTCTTTGGTTCTTAATACAGATGGAGACCTAAAATGAAGGACTTGGCGTACAAGGCGCATAAGTGCATGCAGTTTTTTGAAAAAAATTGAGATATTCATGAACTCAACTGAAACTAGCTGGAAAGTATATGCTGTGAAAAATTTAAAACTAAAATCCAACTTTAAAACATCAAAAAGTGAATTTACACTTCTTTTCCGCCATAAAGCTCCATGTGATTTTGAAACTTCAAACACGTACTTCTGGAAACAGCAATAACTGCACTTATGCGCGCCTTGTCCTCCAAAAGCTTCTCAAATCTTTTAATTAGAAGGTTGATAAGCGCTTAACGGTATATAAGTCATATACTAAAGATATATTTAGAAAATATATATATAGATATGAAAAAAAAAAAAAAAAAAGTTGCACAAAAATGGTGACAGTCCTGTATAGGAAACACACAAATCATTTTACGATGCAAAAATGGAATTTTGTATTTAAATTAATTAGTTTATGAAACCTGGAATTTTTAGGATTTGAAAAGTTGGATTGGGAAAAACGCCTCCTAGCTTTCAGGAACCTGGTTCCAGTATTATCGATTCTCGTGTCACACTTCGAGCCAGACCGAATGGACAGACTTGTGAAGCATTCGAAGATGTTAGATACGTGGAGTTATGACCATCTGTACAAGGGTTTCGCTGTGACCACCATGTACCTGGATAAGTGCCGTGAGCGCGTGCGAAGGGACAGTGACGTCATGAGGGACAATTTGGACAAATGGTGTCACTTTTTTACATACGCTAATTCGTATCGAGTCGGAGAAGTTCCAGCCTGGACCAAAACCGACGACGCCATGAAATCTGCGTATTCGAGGTTGGATCCTTGCAAGTACACCGCGGAGGAGATAAAATTGCATAATGAAACTTTGAAGGCGTTTGAAACGACGCTCGCTGATTACAAGAAAGCGGTTGAACAGGGGCGGTGGAAACCCGGGAAGTTGACGTGAAGTTTGAAAGGGAATGGAATGTGCGAGAGAGGAAATACACAAAAAAGTGAAAGGCTGAGTGCTATTGGAACTGGAGCTATTAAGGTACTTCAGTAGCCACAGCAAATGTTTTCCAGAGAATTTTTTGTACATTAATTTGTAAAATAAATAATGCGTTAATTTTTTCCTAATTATTTGTAATTACTCTTTAACGGTAAAAATTTATATCATGTAAACATTTGAGGGACCACTGAATTACTGAAACGTGATGGGGCTCAAGAGTTATGAAATACTGATGAATGAAACAAGTTCTTGCAATGAAAAACAAGGGGGGCAATAAGAAGCTAATGAAATAAAATTGTCACCGTTGATTTTACTGATTTCGACGGGTGGAGCCGATTTTTTATATAGGATGACTTTTGATATATGAATCACGAAAATTGTGCTCTAAATGCTCCGAAATTTGAAAAATGATCGGACACTTAACTGCGTTCCTCGACTGTGCTGTCAGCGTCAACAATTGATCAATACTGATAAAAAACTTAGCTAATCAATCACCTATACGCGGTTGACATGTCGTTGCAAGTTATTGACACGACCGTTTCAAAAATGTTAGAAGAAAGTTGTTTTACTCTTTCTCATTAAATGCCAGCCTAAAGTTATGAAGGGAAATGTGCATGGTGTGTAAATTCTTAGTGAACAATTTAACAGTTATTATTTATACCTGAAACCAATGTACGCAGTAAATAGTGCTAGTCGATGACATCTGTGAGGTTTCTCTGAAGTTTTCAATGCATTCCTCTCAATACTATGAAACTAATGATAAACTTCAAATCTCCAATTCATAGTCTACAATTCATTCAAAGGATAATCTATAGAAACAACACTCATGAGATCTTCACGCCAAAATTTGCAGTTAATCAAAAGAGAGATTGTGCATTTAATAATCTACCGAAGCAACTTGAGCTTTTGCGATGAAACATTGCGGAAATGTCTTAATTTTCACATGCCTGGTTCTAAAAACTTTCTCATGTGAAACCAAAAGTGAGAAGGACGTACACAATCTCGATCCTAGATACGCATTGCCGTTCTGCCACGTTTTCTTCACACCGGAATTCAGCAATCCGATAGCACTCCGATTCATCAACGACATCATGAGGTCCGAAACCCCTGAAATGTGCGACAAAATCATCTTCCAAAACACAACCACACACAACCAGTCATCATCAGAATTTTTCGATATCCTGTGCTTGAAATCAGGCTATAATAATCCTGTCGCGAAAGTCGGTATACAACCGATAAGATTCGAGTCAACCTCACGGGAGGTCACCCAATACGAGGTGGCTGACCAGTATTTCGGGCAGTTGCACGGGCTGGATTGGAAACAGCGAGTCCGCGAATACAAAAACTTAATCCCAGTTTTATCGATCCTCGTATCGCAATTCGAGGCAGGTCGAATCGACAGGCTTCTGAAACATTCGAAGATGTTGGATACGTGGAGTCATGAGAACCTTTACACAGGTTTCGGGATCACATCGATGTATCTCGATAAGTGTTATGAGCGAGTGCGAAGGGATAGTGACGTCATAAGGAAAGACTTGGATAAGTGGTGTCATTTTTTTCTATTCGCTGGTTCGTATCGGGTGGGTGAAATACCGGCCTGGGCGAAAGATGATGACGTCATGGAGTTGGCGTATTTCGCGTTGGACCCGCGTCAGTATACGGATTTTGAATTAAAAATGCATAAGGATACCATGAGAGCTGCTGAGGAGGACTACGCTGGATATAAAAAGGCCCTCGAAAAAGGGACTTGTAAGGGTGGGCCTTTAAAGTGAGAATTTTTTGGAAGTGGATTGGAAGAAAAATAAATAGCACTAAGCAGAAAGGAACCAAGCCACATCAGCTATTGCCAATCTCAGTAATTCAGTTTTTTACAAGAGAACAGGTGTTTGAATTCTTTTGAAAATTGTGAGGAATTTGCTTCATAATATGCAGAAAATTCCTTGAAATTTTCAAAAAAATCCAAACAACCGATCTCCTGTAAAAAATTAAATTAATCGGTTAAATTTGGCATTAGCCAATGTGGCTTGGTTCCTTTCTGCTACACGTCCAAATAGAAGAGTATGCAAATGCGGAAAATTAGTCATCGAGGACCCTTGGACCGCCTTAAGCAGAAAAGAACAAAGCCACATCAGCTATTGCCAGATTGGACTGGGCAATTTAATTTTTACATAGAAAAGGTTGTGCAGATTTATTTGCAAATTTCAGTGAATTTTCTGCACAATACGAAGCAAATTCCTTTCAATTTTCAAGAGAAAACTCACAGACGTTTTCTTGTAAAAAATTGAATTGCTAAGTTAAAATGGGCCTGTTGCAAACTTTTGCTAGAGCAAAACTATGAGTTGTTTCTTATAGATAATGCCTCAAAAATCACGATGAGCGCATCGGCAAACTCTGAAATGCACTCATAACTTCACAATCTGCGTAAGAAAGAGCTTGATGCAAAAACGGCTTTTTTCGCCCCCCTTCTGAAAGTTCTTCAGACTTTGTCTATTGATTACTCATACTTGAGCGCTTCTTTTCCCAAATTTTCAGACCCCCAAAAAATTTTGGGGGGGAGCTAGGGGGGGTGGAAGTCAAAACCTGTGAACCTCGATATCTCTTGAACAAAGCAAGATATCGAGGTCCGGTTTGGACAAAAAATCGTCTAAAATTGCATACTTTAAAGTTCTAAAGGTCGGAATCCCGACATCACATTTTTAAGTCAACATATGTGCTTTTTTCCAGTTTTTAGGTCTAGAAAATTTCTTTTAAACGAAAAATTCACGTTTTTAAAATTGCAGCTTCGGACAGGACCACTGAGCGCCGACCGGCCGGCCGCTCAGTGGGCCTCTAAAATAGCGCTGCGGGGCTGTAATTTTAAAAACGTAAATTATTTGGAAGTATCTGTAATTTCTGAACTCAGCGACCCTCAAGAGTCCCTAATAAAGCATTTTGCTCAGTTTGAACATTCAATCTGATCTAA